ATACAGCTGTAGATAAAAGGAAACAAGTCAAACAGTGCAATTGTATATATGGAGCTGATTGGATAATTTAACAGTCTAATACAGAAGTGTCTACTATCAACTAAGGACCAAATGCCACAAGATAATCTTTCATCAATAGATTGACTTTGATGGATCTCAGTGAAGCCCTTGAAGGCTGCTCACACAGATACAACCATATGAACAAAGACCTTTGATAGCAGCAATCAGCATGTCAGAATATCAGCAGATTGTCATAGTGATCAGGAAGGGGCATGCATACAATTTGCGCAACATGCCCAAGTAATGTATTGTGGTTTGACAGACTCCACTTGCTTTATAGCATAGACAAGATTTGCTGCATTTGATTTGGATTTTATTCTAAAAGCAATCTTCCTTAAGGGCTCAGTAATTCTTATCAAGAAGGTCTCCCAGACTTTGTTCTTCATTATTCTTTATATTGAGAACAGTAAGGACATTCCTAGGTAGCATAATGATACAAGTAATCATGAAAAGAAACCCACAATTTATGAGCTTAAGAGTCAGATAATTTTACTTAATTAGCAAGCTTCCTTAAAAATCTGGCAATGCTCCTTAAAAAACTGGCAGTATTCCTAAAATGATCATTGTTCAAGTGTTTCTGTTACCCTGCCCTCCACTCCGTAAAATGGGACTTTGTAAATAGCCCCAAATGAGCCTATTTAAAAGAAAGAAACAAACAAACAAAACATTCTCAGGGTTTTTATGCACTTGGAGACCTGCTTTCCTGCCCCATAACAGTTGCATCTAAGCCAGCTGTTCTCAACTTCACTGGACTCGAGGCACTCCTCCATAACTTTGGGACCAGAGGGACACCTAGTTTCAAAAACTAATATATACAGCAGTGGGGGCAGGGGCATAGCCAGACACTGTCCCAGCATGGCCCTGTTAAGGCAAAGGGGGCAGGAAGGGTGTTAATTCCTTCCTCCGTCCCTTCTGTCCCGGGGACCACAGCTGGGATCTGCCAGCCCCAGGCACTGCCGTTTACCTGTAGACAGGCAGACCCGCCGGGGGGGGGGGGGGGGGGGGAGAAATTAACCTCCTCCCTGCCCACTTTGCCTTAGTGGAGCCATGCTGGGATGTGTCTGCCCACACCCATGCCCCTGCTCGAGCTAGACAGCAGAGGGGCAGGGCCAGCCTTGCTCTTGGGAGCAGAGAGCACAGCCCAGCCCAGGGCTGCAGCGCATGCTGGGATGCTGGAGGACTCTGGTTTAGCTTAAACCAGGAAGGGGTCTGGCACAGAAATTCCATAAACCAGTTTGATCCAAATCAGTTAAGTCTGATACTACATTCAACCAGGTTGAAACTGGCCATTTTGAAACTGGTTTATGTACACTGAACTTATATTCTGTTACAGGTTTAAACCCATTTCTGATCATTTAAACCAGTTTGTGTGCAACTTCTGTCCCTAGACCAAAAGATGTGGCAGCACCCCTGGTTGAAAAATGCTTCTATACGCTATCATAACATGACTGGTCTAGAGAAAGGCAACCAAAGATAGAAGCTGGTTAGCTGTAGTGAAGGAACGGAAGCAGAACACAAGGCTCCTAAAGTCAGTGGAGATACTAGAGGGAGAAAAAAAAAAAAAAATCAAGCAACTTAATCCCTCTACCCTCATATAAAACTGTCCCCCCTGTAAACTTCATTGTGTGAGGAAGACAAGGACTCAATGCCAGGAATTCTTTAGATCTAGTCAACATTTCTAACACATCTCATAGTTTTGGGAAGCTTCCTCAGTTTCTCTACCCTCAGAAGGGTGCAATATGAATTAAATCACTTTAACAGTCCTTTGAAGATTAAAAAGTACTAACTGTATACATACAAAAAACTAGAACTCTTGGTTCCAAAAGGTGTATATGCATGCGTGTAAGCGTTTAATATGCTAGGTTGATTTGTGTTTCTGGGGCTATATACAAATATTGCTCTCCACAGTATGAAATGTTATTGTCAGCCACATCAAGTGCCCAAACCCAGAGACAAGCAAGTTTCTTTGGGTAAATTCAACAGCTTTTATTAGACCAACTAAAATGATCAATAAAAGTTTTATTTAATATTATATTATTAGATTATATCTAATAAAAGATATCAACTTTACCCAAAGAGCCTTGGCTGCCTATGTCCTTAGACCAACACGGCTACAACCTACACCCCAAGAAGCTGAGATACAGCAAGAGGAAGAGAGAGAAAGAAAGAAAGACAAAGCAAGGAGTGATTCAGCGATAGGAAAGACAATTCAAATGAGAATAAATAAAATGGTGAGGAAGATAAGAAAAGGAAAGAAATAAAAACACTCTTTTACCATCTCAACCACCTAACCAAATAAGACAATACTAGATCTAAGGCAATACTAGATCTAGTGGAATGTAACTCTGGTGTCAAGAACACACCTGGCTGACTGAATACTGCATGTTTTGTTCACAGTTATCAAATTAAGAAACAGCCATGCTAATCTCAAAAACACCAAGCATTTTCAAACATCCTTATGAAACCTAAGTTTTCAAAGGTAACTTGGAAGCCTGATCTTCAGAAAATCTAAGTCTATTTCTGACTTTTGACAATGGAATCAAGATACTTTGGGAAATTTTACCATAAATCTTGCAATCACAATATTAGCTTCAAAGTTGAAGTCTACTTCTCCAGAAATAATAATTCTATGGAAGGTGAAGCTGTCTACATGGAACTGGCACTTGAAATTTTAAAACTGGAAAGAAAAGGCATACATCCTAAGTTCATTTTAACATGTTCTCATGTTTCTTATATTGGCTTACATGCATCAGAGAATATCAATCTCAGGCGCTCACATTCCTCAGTTTGAGGATACTCCAAACTAAGCTGAGATCAATGCTGCTGCATCCTTATTCTCAAATGAAGCAGAATACTCTGAGTAGCAAATAATGGTCTCAGAAGTAGATCATTTAAAAATATCCATCTAAATAAATTATGTTCCCTAAAAGATGGAGGGGAAAATTATACTTCTCCATCCTCCCTCAGTGAACTTGATACAAGCACAAATATTGGCAATGAAGCCCATTTATGCACACTTACCGCAGTGGTTCTCAACCATTTTAGACTCAAAACACCCCTTGGAAAAAGCTAGCTCCTAGTTTTCACTCACTTTTCAACTACAGATAAAAGTGCAATTCTTCTGTTGCAAAGGACTCAAAAGGCGCAGAAAGGAGTGACTATTTTAGCCCAATTTGGCCCCTGAAAGTACTCTACAACCATGACCAAACACAACTGCACAGCTGCAGAGTGTTTTAAAAGGGCCCGATCCTGCGACAAACTGAAACCTCATTGTATGAGGGTTCAGATGACACTCCAAAGCACAGCACATTCATTAACATCTGTCTGCGCATGCAGGGAGCATAACTGGGCTGATGCAGCTCAGCCCTGCTCCTGGCACTGTCTTCAGAATGGGAGGGGGTGGGGGAAGGGAGCAAGCAGAGGGAGCTGGTCTGGAATTTGTTCAGCCAGCACTGGAGAGTGGGGCAGGTGGATAGGAGCCGTTCCTCCCTTCCCCTCCCCCCCCCCCCCCCCCCCCCCAACGCCCCCCCAAAACCCCCCGCAGCCCGAATGCCAGCTGAAAAAACCCCAGACCAAACTCCCTCCTCTCCCTTCCCCCACTCCCATTCTGAAGACAGACCTGGGGCTGAGAGAGGGGAGGGGCAGGGCTAAGAGAGCGATTGCAGATTTGCAGCAGCTCCAGATTGCAGCTGAATCCCCCAAACCCTGGAACCCAACAGTGAACATCTGTTGGGTCCAGGAATCGCTGTAAATCATAGCACTTCCTGTAGAGCTGCACTTCTGTCTGCACCTAAATAGACCATTCTCTGCCTGCTCCATGATGGTATGTGAGCAGTGGTTCTCAGTAATGGATCCATCACAGATCCCTTTGAGTTTAAAACAGGATTAAGTAAGGCTATGTTATCGCTCCAACACTCTTCTCCATATTCCTTGCTGCAATGCTACATCTGACCACCAACAAACTTCCAGCCAGAGTGGAGCAAAACTACTGAATGGATGTTAACCAGTTCTACCTCATTTCGACTCCAAACCAAAACCAAGACCACCCTGACCACAATCATCGAGCTCCAGTACACTGATGATGCTGTAGTATGTGCTCACTTGGAAGCAAACCTTCAGGAAATCATCAATGTCTTTACCAAGGCATACAAAAAAATAAGACTGACACTTAACATTCAGAAGACAAAGGTCCTCTACCAACAAACTCCTAATGAACAGTCCCCAGCCCCGGTAATCCAGATCCACGATGAGACTGTGGAGAACACTGAGTATTTCCCATACCTTAAAAGTCATCTCTCACAGAAGGTTGACATCAACGAAGAGATCCAACATTGCCTCAAATACGCAAGTACAGCCTTTGGACACCTGAAGAAATGGGTGTTCAAAGATCGCGACATCAGATCCTAAACTAAGCTCACTTCTATCAAGCAGTTGTGATCCCCACCTTGCTGTACGGAGCTGAGACAGACAACATACAGGAGACATTTAAAGTTGTTGGAGAAGTACCATCAACGCTGCCTGCGGAAGATCCTCCAAATCCAGTAAGAAGACAGATGCACCGCTGGTGTCCTTATGCAAGCAAACACCACAAGTATGGAGGCAATGATCACCTATCAACTTTATTGGGCCAGTCATGATATCCGTACAACTGACTCCAGACTCCAAAGGCAAATTTTATTTTCCAAGCTCGCCCAAAACATATGCTCAAGAGGAGGGCAGAGAAAGCACTTCAGGGACATCCTCAAGGCCAACTTGAAAACCTGTAACATCAACATCAACTCATGGAAGACTATTGCTTAGGACTGCTCCAAATGGAGGAAGAGTCTGCTGCAGGAATCTCAGTACTTTGAAACCTCACAACAACAACAACAGGAGATGGAAAAGAAGGAGCAGAAGAAACAGTGTGTTACAGACCAAATCAAGAATCCAGTACCACCAACCTCATATGGAAACACATGTCCGAGCTGCAGTAATCTTTCAGTCTCGGATAGGCATAATCATCCATCTTCAGACATACAAATAAGACAATCATCCTTGACCTCGAGGGATTGCTGAAGATGAAGAAGCACTTCTGTCTGTACCCAAAAAGACCACAATAGGACAGAAAGTTTTTAACACTATGGACTCCTACATGAAGCCTTGTTTATGGTGATTTATCTTGTGAATCATGTTTTCATACTTAAAAGTGCTAACATTGTGTGGCACCCTGGAAAGGCACCCAAGGGTGCCATAGCACCCTGGTTGAGAATCACTAATTTATTGCATGATAGGGACCCTAGTTGCCACCTAGTCCTACCAGCTTTTCAGACACTCACAGCATGGAATTTTGATCTGTGCATGTTTGCCTTAAACTCACTGGGAGAAGTGGCCTATTAAACTATCTTGAATCAATCAATCAAAAAACTCTAAACAAATCAGGGAAAATATCTAACATTGCCTAATCTACAATATATTTAGACAGACACGTATTAATCAACGGTCTCAAGATACTGACAGGCACAATACTATATTTAAGACTTTTGAAGAGCACTGAAAAATTGAGCTAGCAACCTTGAAAACAAGTCTGATCAAAAAAGTCACCTGGGTAGGACTGCCTGAAGGCATAAATATAGAGGCTGACATTTGCTCTCCTCCCCTGCAACCCTTCAGATGGAACTTTATGAAGCTTCTGGTGATGGATTATTTTAATTTCTCGATGTCTGTCAGATTAATGGAAAAAATAGATCTGGTTTTTAAATTGTTTTATCTTTCTAAATGATTTCCTAAGGCATCTTCTTTGAAGACCATACCTGCATTTCTCTTTCTATCCACTTAATGCAAGCTTTGTTATGGCTTTTTCTCCATTTTATCTTTAGTGAATGAATAAGACTGCAACTGATTTCTTCAAGAACAATATGTTTATACTATTTTGTTTACTAATTTAGACAGCAATTATTTTCACCTTATCTTGTCCACATGGAAATGTAATTGTGAAAACCTTTACATCAGCTGAGATATCCATGTGCAGTGCAAAATGACAAACAAAATGACAATTTAAAAAATGGAACTAGGATGTTCTCTTGAGGTCTGGAAGAAATTTGTTTAACAATAGATTAATAGATCACCACAGATTAATCAGTAGTGTTTCAGGATAATATGGCATTGAGGCCCCAGTTCTGTAGTTCAAAATTATTACAGTGGGATTCATGTGTGCGCCCAGGGGTCCACCTTGTTGGAGCTCAGTGAAAAAACAAGGTTTTATACCAGAAGGTCACTGATATTGGAACAGTATGCTATGCTGTCGTTTCAAAGACGAAAACAGAACTCTTTTCCTTTGCCATATTTCCAGTACCTCATTTTTGGTCAACTTTCTGTTTGCTTATTTCTATTTGTGGAGAAGGGAGGGAGGAAGAGGAGTAATAATGAAAGACTTCATCTTCTTCTAAGAATAAAGAAAAAAGAAAATAATCTTTGATAGAGTTCTGCATACAAGAATCTCAGGAACCCTCAGCACGTTGTTTAGATGCTAAATTTTCCTGACACCTTCACAGATTTTTTTTTTCACATAATACAGAGCTCAATCTAACAAAAAAAAATTATCCCCACTCCTGCTAAAATCCCCCAAGACACTAGATAGTAAGCAGGGGGTCTACTCAAGGATGCTAGCTCTTCAATGTTAGTTTTCCTTCACAAGCATTAAGGAATGTTGAATTGCATTGTGGTGAAAAGAAGTGCGCAATCCAACAATGCATCAAAGACACAGCAGGGGCATCTCAATGGGAAACTGCCACTTTGACTTGAACTGAAGAGAGTAGTTAGGTACTCATTAGGAGAATATAGCATAAGATTGCTTCAATACCCCTACCAGCCACAAGTTATTGAAATGTATCCTTTAAATCTCTAAACAACACAATTATATGGGACACAAACATCTAGTTTTGAAAGCTGTGTTTACTGTTCATTTATAAATATTTACTACACGAACAGTTATAAAGTGGTAATGGCATAAATATATATTAAAAAAGAAGAAAAGTGGAAGTTTTTGAAAGAAGATTGCAGGTAATTTTGGCATTTTTGTAGAACATTCTAGGGCTCTCATATTATTCAAATAAAACAAACTTCAAGTGGGATTTAACGGAATTTGAGTCTTTTCTAAAGCCAAATGGCCTACATCAGGGTCAAATTAGACAAATCTAGAAAATCCTATTATTTGAAAGGATATAAGGCATCGTTTTATCAGTATCTATTTATAATATTAAACTAATGTGAAACGAAGCAATTCGCTAAGTTAGTGTAAGTTCTATCTGGACATAGCTTTTATTTCTCATGTACTCTACACAGAAAAATATAAAGCTGCAAAAAGAATTGATAACTTTTGCCATAAAATGATGTGACGTAACAAATCTGTCACACTGCTACTTAAAGCTGAATATTGAAAAATACCTTTATTTAATATGCAGAATGCAAACACTGCTATTTCCTGGTTTCACCTGCTGTTAAACACTTGCATATATACATTACAAAAAATTAGCTTCTTGCCTTAGTTTTTTGTTAAACTCCTGATGACACTAGCTGACTGAGCCAGTTTACAGTGCTAGCAAGCTGACTAAGTATGTATGTGCATCAATACTCCCATAAACAGTAGGGCCTTCTAATGATACCACGTCTCAACAAAACTTCAAGCTGGTTCTATCTGTACACAGAATCAGATACAAATGGAGTTAAAGACCAAAGGACAAACCTTCAAGTGACAAGTCTACAGACAGAACTGCTACACTACTACCACATACTGCTACACCACCACCACATACAGAATCTGATCCAGTAAGTTTCATGCAATGTAATGATTTTGGTTTTCACCTGGGTATATTCCACAGATAGTAGATAATAAGGCAATATTTGTAGCCAAGAGGGGTATAAACATAGACTATATAAGTTTAAAACCATAAGAGATTAGCTGGAGATATGATCGCTGTAATGCTTGCCAAATCATATTTTAAAAAATGAAGTAGATTACATATTGTTAATACTATTTAGCTCCCTTTAATGCTGCCTAGAGAGCAAGGGGGGCGGGGCTGGACCTGATGATCTGCAAGGTCCCTTCCAGCCCCTAACAATCTATGAATAACAGAATTACCTGATATATAATGGATGTCTAAAAGGTAGCTGCAGTGTAACTAAGTATATACATTTATCTGGGGTTAAAATACCTCCATGTGGCAAAACTACTTATGAGTAATTTCGAATCCAATTAGGTTATACAACTACACTTCCTTTCCCCATCATCTTCTCAGAGATGATGGGACAAAGTGAAATTCTATGTCTAAGGCCTTGTCTGTACTGCTTTATTTACATAGGCATAGTTACATCAGTGTAACCCAGTAGTATATATACCCACAGTGAAAAGTGACTTGTGTTAGGGTGCATACAGATGTTTAGTCAGGGTGTATAGATGTTTAGCCAGCCTGCTGGGGAGGCACTCTAACTATGGCACTTTACATAAAAGCGCCATAATTAAGAGCACCATTGAACCCAACAGGTATTAATTACTCGG